CTTGAACACTTCACGAACACACTTCTTTATATATGATGCCAAATCTGATACAATTAATCATATATCATTAAATGAAATATTTCAGTCAGCCAAAGTACAAACAATTAATTGACCGATAGTTAAATTATTTACTTTATCTAAATAATCTACAACTACTAACTTAGTTAATTTGCAATAGTTAAACAAAATATTAACTACGCTTCATGCTCTACTATCAGTAGTTTTATCAACAATTACTGAAACCTTTTTGCTATTAAATGTTTGTTTAATCATGACTAAATGGTCTTCAAAAACTTCAGGAAGATATTCACGACACAGTGTATCAGCCAAAGGAATGCTACTATCTTTACATAAATGCTCTCTTAACCATAGTCTAAGCTTGTTTACCTTTTCTAAAGAAATATCAGCTTGAACAAACGTACAGATCAAATCATTAATTGCAACCCTTTTTAATTTATTTGCTTTGATAACTGAGTTTAAAGTAGGTTGTCTGGTTCTACTCAAAGAAGAAAGCGTCCTCACTTTTAAATTCTTATATGTATTTGTATTGATATGAGCTATAATAGTAGTCTTGGTATTCCAATTCACAGAATGGCAACAAAATCAGTACATTAAGATACTGGTATCAGCAACAAAGTTATTTGGGAATTCCTGTATGCAAGAATATACAGTAGTTCATTTGGAAGGCATTTTATTCACCTGAGCTAAAAAAGTTTTGCACCTTACAAGACAAATAGCACAAGTTCTAAATTAATTTTTTTTTTTTAAAAAAAAAAAAAAAGTCTGCAATCTAATCGTAAAAATAATCATGAAAAAGTTTTTTATAATCATGATATACAAGCTTCTAAATCTAGCATCATTAAATTTTAGCCTGCACTATCTATAATTCTGGCTGCCGATACTGTATAATATTACACTACAGAAAATTTTGTAAAAAGATCGATTTACCTATAATTTGACCCAAAAATATCGATTTATATCAATCTAAATAAATCAAAATTTTCTATGTCTCTGCTAGAGCCATCATTTGGAATTGGTGTTTCACATCATCATTGATTGCTGAAGCTATCATTTGAATTTAGTATCTCGTCTCGTCATCGATTACTGGAGTTATCATTTGGAGTTAGTGTCTCGTTTCGTCATCGATTATTAGAACCATTATTTGAAGTTTGTATTGTGTATTGTTATCGATTACTGGAGCTGTCATTTGGAATTAGTGTTCTTGCTGTGAATTGTATATCACCGTTATTGGCAGTTGCTGGTGAGACTTTGTGTCATCATTTGGTATGTCGTATAGTTGTCATTTTTTGTACGTTAGTAATGACAGCCTTGGTAGACAAGGGTGTTTAGTTTTGTTGATATAAATGCGTTACTAATACTTGGTTCTTTTTTTTTTTTAAATTGTTAAGCTTCTTGGAAACTGTTGGGTATTTGTTTTGGAAATCTAGAAAGTATAATTTGTAGATTTATTGTTCTTGTTTTATTTTGCTTTTAAATGTGTTACTAATACTGTCTTTTTGTTTCTAGGTTTTTTAAAATGTTTCTAAGTTCTTTTGAGATTTGTGGATATATAGTTTGTGAATTCAGAATGTATAGTTTTTTTATTTGTTATTGCTTTTGTTTTGTAAATACGTTACTAATGCTTTTTATTTTTTCTAGATTAGGTCGGTTTTGAGTTATTCTTTGAATATGTTAGGTTTGTATGTTTTTTTTTCTTTCTTTTGATTTGTTTTCTTTTGTTTTCTTTTACTAACATTTTTTACTTTTTGTTGTCGCTTATTGCTTTTCTGATACTATTACACAATGTTTTCGTCATTGGTATCATCATTATGAGTAATGAAAACACTTTTAATATTGGCATCGTCGTTATTGGAGTAGAAAATAATAGATCATTGATTTCATCGTAATCATTTGTAGTGTTGTTACTGTTTTTGTTGTTAATTCATGTTAAAGTGTTTTGGATTTTATTGCTTTTCTGTTAGTTAGGGTTAGACTGTTTGGATTTTATTACTTTTAGTGTTAGTTTTGGTTAAAGGTTTTATTGGAGTAGATTTGGGGTAGATTAGGTAGTGGTGATTGTGTAGTAATATAATTGTTGTATAATGCTGCTATGCAAGTATAATAAATTAATTATGTAATAATAAAGTAAATTGTGTAATGGTTTAGTTACAATGATTACGTGCACCATGGTGCAAATTGTATAATGGCTTATTTTACAATGATCACGTGATTAGAGATGTACTGTAATGCAGGTGTACCATTTTATAAAATCTATTTTTAAATATTAATTTTAAACTTATAGTTTCTAATGCAACTTTATAGTTTGAATAATAAATTATAATTTTAATTATTATAAATCTTGTAATTTACTTGTAAAAATTAATACTTGTCTTAAAAGTAAAAATTTTTTCTAGCTTTGAAAACATATAAAATTTTAGAAAACTTAAAAAAAATTTAATAGTAAACTTTAATATTATACAACCTTTAAACTTTAATTAATTAAAAATTTTTTAATAATTTTAAAAAATTTTCTTAACAAAGTTAA